AGCAGACAGGCCGTTTGCACAACACGCGCGGCGTGCGGCAGCGCTGGCGCCGGAGGCCTACGCAGGCGCGAGTGACCTCGTGAGGAGGGGGTGGTGATAGGTGGGCGAACCACTGAGGCCCACGCCACCTCCAGTCACGGCCATAGACCCTCACCTCACACGGTGGTCGAACGATGCATTGAAACGGGCTGTCAACTCGTTTGGGGCGCGGAAGAGCAGCATGTGTTGAGGAGGACGATCTGTCTGCCTGTCGATGTCAGGGAGCCGCGGGGGTGCCCACCAGTGTTCTTTTCTGACCGGGAAGTAGAGCTCACCTATCGGCTAAAGAGGTTTGCAAAACTGACACGCGGCCGCCTCACAACTGATGAGCAACTAGCTTTTCACTATACTGTTAGCAACAGCATCAGCAATCGCTTCACTAAAGATACTGTTGTGAGTTGGCTGAAAGGATGCTTGAGGCGTAGTCCATTAATCATGGTTCAGGATGCTTGAGGCATAGTCGGTCAGTCATGGTCCATCAGTTTAAACTACACCTGGAGACAGCAGGAGTTGAACAGGGCGTGACCTCGCTTGATCTCACATGGGCTCCCTTAGAATTCCTGACCTGATTTGACCCGGAGAGGACTTAACTGTCCATGTGGGTTCCTGCAGAGCTTTGGCTTTTTCCGCTGATCTAGGAATTGGATTGCGGTTCATCCTGGCTGACCTTTGGGTGAGTTTGAAATAAAGCTTGGTATCTTTTATTTCTTCGGTTTCTTATAAGCACATTTACAGGCGTAAATCAGCCGTAAAATGTGTTCATTGGCAGGGAGAGATATTACTTGTGCATCTGACGATAAGTGAGTGATTCGTACAAGTGCACCATTTTAGAACGCTCATCTGACCTAACCTAACCTGTGCTGAAGGTTTGTAGGGTACAAATAATCTTTCCAGTATCTTAATTTAGATGCTCGTCGGCTAAAGCGACTTGGTATGGTTTGAATACTGTATATATTTTGCTTTCTGTCATTGTACTTTGAGCCTTGTCGCTTTGGCTACCACCGGTGGCCTCAAAATCAGCCTGAGATCACGAATATGAATTTATTTCGCCTTGAGGTCAGACCGAGCGCTCCCAACTGCTTTTAACGAGATGCTTCAATGAAATATTTCAAAAAGGTCTCGGTGAGACTGAAAGTCAGTGAATAAAAACATTGCTTTGCCCTACGGTCTCTTATTGCGCACATTATCTTTTGATTTTCAATCTCTGTTCTCGTCGATATAAAGTATTTCGCGGTTTTGCCGTTTATTCAATTCCCGTTTCTATTTCTATATCCATTTGACCAACACTGGCACGTAGCCAAAATGTTGCTTGCGGTAGGGGGCATAAGTAACAATCTATTCCCCAAAATCTGGTAAAGTTGAACCAACATTTCTACGGAATTATCCGGTATTAATTGTAGAACTACTCACGCGTGGCGTAAGGAATCTTAACTATCTGTTGTCTGCATCGCCCTGCCGACATGTATTCTTTCCATTTGTTCCCATTGAACCTAGAAATGGCGGAGTTTGTGAGCCCACCAGCTTGCTGTCCCGGGCGGTTTAACTTACGCGTTATCTATGCACTTATTTCAGGTCTGTGGAATATGAGTAAGTCATTAAGGTAAACCGTCCAAATGAAGGGGCTAAGAACACGTGGCTAACGCGAAGCGTGTCTTTAAGACGGATCTGTCGCCCTAAGATTGTCTTTTTCAACGCTAAAATAAACGCTAAGTGCATTGAAATAGTGCCGAATGTAGGCAATCGACATCCTTCTCCATAACTTATATATTGGCTGCCTAAAGCCAAATCTATAGCCTTAGGGCGCGCTCCAGCACCTATGACAACTGGGCGCAACAGGTCACACTCGGACATCAGGACTTAATGCCGAACATTTAAATCTAACTTGCCTTATCAGAAATCTTTACAGACGTCCCTCGCCCTACCGAAAATCTGCCACGGAAGCCTCTCGTATGGACGGACATCCTTTCAAAGGGAGTAGTTACCCGGCCGGTAACATGCCGAAGTCCGTACACCATATGCCACAGGGGTACTCGATACTTGTCCAGGAGCCCGTGAGCCTCACCGACGTCACAAACGCCAGTCTGGTCCGGCCGGAGCACATGTCCGCCATCGGGGTTTCCTTTTAGCAGGCAAAACCGTGATTCCTCTAGTCTTTACGTCTGGCTGTGCGTGGCCTCGGGCCCACTTACCGCGCTCGGACATACCACCGGTCAGGATACCCCTTTCGGGTGATGGCCTCCCATACGAGCTTTCGTGGAAACTTTCCAGTAGGCCGCGATCTTGTCTTATCAGGGACGTCTGCACCTGGACAGTACGCCAGCCCCATTTGACACTACTTTGCTTACACTGGAAGTGTAAGCAAAGTGGTTAAGGACTGCGCACGCGAAAAATGCGATGGATAGAAAGATGTGTACACCAATAAAGCACAAGACATGCAACATAAGGAACCGAGCATGCCAAGAAACGAGGTACAAAGAAATGCGTATGCGAAAAAATATAACATCGAAGCGTTGCGTGCATGAACTTCTCATGATATAGTATTTTCGTACGAGGAGATGTGATACTAAAATTTGTGTACGATGTTTGCTAAGCTTACGATACTAAGTTTAACTCGGTCATGGTAAAGAAATTAGCGAATCCGGCCGGATAGGTTTCGAGACAGTACGAACTGTAAATGCTTCAGTACCAATTGTAAATGTAGCTCGTAAGACGATCGGTTGTGCACTCTTACAGCTTTACCGTAAAATCAGCACAGCGCAACTTTGCTGTGCGTGTTACTCATATTTGCCGTGCACATGGTACCCGTGTCGTATCACGCAGGTCGGCACACAGCGGCCCCTCGCGCTCGGGCGAATCTTCTTAGGTGCGCTGGGCTCAGGGCAAGTTTTGTGTCGGCGTTCCCTACGTTCTGCGGGCCTCACTATCAAGCCAGTCTGAGCCCTGACATTGTGAGCCCTCTGAGTACTAGCCCTCGAGTTCAAGATAAACGTTTGACGTGATGTACCCTGTGATGCACCCTTGACCTCTCTACGTAGCTGTCGATTACATGACCACGGAAGTAAACTGGCTGGGCTGAACGCAAGTCTCAATTTCCTTCCTAGGAGCAGCGTGAGGCGATACCATTTTCCGGTGATGCAAGGAGTTACGACGAACAGATTTTCAAGCAAAAATTGCACGTCCTGTCTCACACGGCGTCCTCCGCTTTGTCGGCCATCCACACAATGCGCTGCGATGGTGATGCCAGGGTCTTTCGGTAGTCCAGTGGGACGATCGCATCACTACCGCATGCCAGCCGGGGCGCTGTTTCCACGCTCAGGGTTGCGGCATGGCTGTCCAGCGCCTTCAGTGTTCCGCACATGTTGCGGCGAGCGTTTACAAAGACACAAACAAATGGTTTGGCCGCAAAGCTGTTCCTGGGCCAGCAGGCTGAGCTCTGGTGGTGGCCTGCGTTCCAGACAGAACTGACCTGGCCTCGGCCTGCTCCAGATCGGGCAGCGACTCGTCCTCCGTCAGGTGCGGCGTCTCAGGCCGGGCGCCACTCTCTCCCTCCCGCTGCGCGTCCGACACCGGCATAGCCTCGGCCATTGACGCGTCGTGTCAGCGTCAGTGCACCCGCGCAGGCAAGACGGGTGGCCGCTGTGAGCAAGGCGGGCTGTATCTGCGCGCCGCGTGAACGGTCCGTCCCCGGTCGCACCGTGAGCCGCGGGCCGGAGCGCCGGCCGCGTGCGCGGCGCCACACCGTCTGCGGGACTGCCGTCCGCCCTGCCGTGCCCGGCTCGTACTCACCGCCTATAAATACTGACGCCCACTGGCAGTCGGCCCACGCCACCCATTCCAGCGCGTCAGCACGGGAGCTGCTCGCAGGCCTCTGTGCCTTCTCAGAATCATCGTTCTCAGCGCAGAATCGCGGTATTCGCGCGCTCACCGACAATAGGCGTTCGCATCCTCTGTGCTATCAACAGTCCCGTTCGCAGACAATGCTGTCGGCCTTGCTGAATCGGATTTCAGACAGCCTCGTGCCCGGCACGGACTAACGATTGTCCGGCACAGTGCGGACAGAAGGCTCGCGTCCAGCGTGGACTCGCGGTAGGCACATTCTCAATTTGGCCGGCATCCGTCCTGAACATGCAACGCGCGCAGTACGTCGCACGCGTGGTTGCACGTTCCGTGGTCCGTAGTCCCATAGCTCCCAGTCGACTCTCGGCCGCCCCCCACTCAGTACGATCCCTTGCGATACTCGTGCAAATCCCCAGTGACTCGTTTCTGGTACTGATTTGAAACGCACACATACATTGTCGTCGCGCGTTCTCAGCAGTCTTCTCAGTGCCGGCCCAGTGTTTCTCAGTCCAAACTCTGGTGATGACTGGACCGGGTCGTCCTCAGCATGAACCTTCCGCAGTACTATCCCTGGTGTGCACTCCCACCAGTCCCTTCTCGGTGCAGACTCCGGACCGTCGCATTCTCAATATCACCATGTCGCGCTCCCAGCGGAATCGTCAGTTACGCCATCCAGTACGCACACTGCGCTAGTTGAGGACGGGAACTCGTACCGGACATACGCACTTCATTTTTTGGAATATTTTAATTATTCTGAATGCGCGCAATTATAAACGAGTCTCCAATGCCATTGCATCAAGATTTTCCTCTAGCGCGTAAATATGCATGCAGCCTTTCCGCAACCCACACTTAGTCACCGACATAGACTAAGAGTGCAATGCAACGGTCGTTGACCATGAAACCAAATCACCACATTGGCAATCGAGCATCAATGGCTCTAACTTATGGCGAGGGCATTTGCACCGCAAGGCCGTGTAAAAGGGTTGAAGCAACGGCTAGTTCACGTCTCATAGTTCACGCCTCGCACGCCCCACACCAGAAACTACGCAAGACGTTTACACGTCACGCACACTCGCATAGAACCTCGGCTCAATCCAAGCTCCCAACTGCACATAAAGGTTCGGTGTTTTTTCACTTATTTATTTGCATGAACAGGGATGGAACATTTAGGCTTTCTCCTCGTCCTCCACCACCGTTGACCGCGTGTAGATCATCTGTGCGTGGTGTTTGGTGACCAGCTTGATCAGACCTGAGACACGGCAGGCGCTATCAGTGCCCACCGCGAGCCAGTTCGCCACACAAGCAAATAACTGGGCAGTCACAGGCCAGGCACTTTGGACAGCAGCGGAATGCCAATGCTACGCAAACACCAATAAAAACAGACCTGTTTGTAATGCACAGGCAGGGAATGGGCATGAGCAAAAAATGAAGAACAGTGAATCACAAAAATACTTCCTGCTTATTCAGAATGTGACATTCATTGTGTGTACCCTCTAGGTTCACTGTAACAGCTTATGCATACTCAGTTTGATCCACAATTGTGAGTCCTTTATGACCATAATCACAGCTTGAAATGCCATCTTTTCAGTACAGTAAACTAAAGATGGAATATTGTCTGAATATGAAGACACGACTTGATAATGCTTAAAAGTACAACCAGCAGCTCTGGCACTCTAGGACAAAGAAGCCACATCTTCCATGGTAGTGAAACAGAACATATTTTTGGCCTTCCATTGATGCTGGGTGGGGCGACCGGCTCGCTGCAGGGTCGTACGCGAACACTGACCTTTGGCGTGGAGCTCCTGGAGGGCAGCGCGTGCCAGCGAGCCCCGCACCTTCAGACGCTCACTCACAACCGACGGCGTGATCAGCTTGTACGAGGGCACCTCCTTGTACAGCTTGTCATAAGTGGCCTTGTCAAACAACACCAAGTTGTTGAGCTTGTCACGGACCTTTCCCTTGGACCACTTCTGCAAAAAAAAAGAAAAGACACACTGGTGAAATGATGATCCATGTCACAAGTGGTTCTCTTAGAAGGGTTACCAGAGACCTTTGTCTTTAGAACAATGTACATGCATGGGCATTTGGTGTTGCAATCAGTTATGGCTGCATTCAAACATGGAAGACTTCACTTTTGTAAAACTGGGGCATTGGACATGGTAATAGCAGTTCAAAACCATTAGAACATACATGCTCTGCTGTTATGCCAAACAAAACATTACACTTCAACAAAAATAGATTCAAATTTCAACATTGTCATGTTTGAGCTGTCCAGCTTTAGTCCACAAATGCACCTCAAAGAATATGGTTAGGTTTCATGCATATGTTTATCAAAATTAGCACTTAAGATTTACAAACTATTTTGGGAGTATGCTACTCTATGCCACAGTGGAGAAGTGTATGCCGCAGCAAATCTAGGGTTACATGCAATATGATAAGCATGGCCATGGTGTGGCCTTGCATGCATAACCTATGACCATTGCTCTACTATCTCAAATTACAGCATACAGTGATCTATGTGGTACCTATCTGACCCTTCACAGAGTTGACAGCATATCACAAACTATGCACACCTGCTTCAAAGCAGGGTCAGACTTTAATGGATCATAAATAACTCTTCCACATGTATATTCAGCACCGCCCAAACCATTTGGCTCCAAAATCAAGGGCTATCAACGGGCCTCCTGCTAGGAGAGTTTCAAAAATAAACCTTCTGATTTGTAGGGGCTGTATGTAAGCAATGACTTTTAAACACTTATGTCTGGCATGCAATTTCTAATGACAGAAGCCATTTTAAGAAGCCAATATGTAGGCCATAACAGTGAGCTGTTGCTATCAGTGGTACTAGAAGTCAGTGAATTCTATATTACTGGGTCAACACAGGACCAGGTAGGTTTGAGGCTAGCTCTGCTATAAGTAACAAAAATACACCTGGCATAGCCCTGTTCTAGGCTGGGGTGCATGCCAAAGCATTACCATGGAAAACTATCATGCAATATATCCTGATCCAGACACCAGCACCTAGTGCTTTCAAAACACATTGACAGGCAGGATTCCATGCAAAACATAGCCCTATGCAGAAATATGAATCCCCCACACCGCAACTATTGCACAGCAGTTGCAGATGCGTGCACATACACAATAAATCTGAAAAACTCAACATCACATGAGCATATTGTTTCCGCTCCAATCACGGAACATAGTTGCGTCATTCTAACTCCAAATGAAAAGCATGAGCACAATTCCACAAACCTTCTTCTTAGCCTTGCCTCCTCCAGACCCTTCCTTCTTCTTCTGGGTCTTCTGGGGCTGCTTAGCAGAGCCACCCTTCCCTCCCTTTGTATCCTTTTTGGGAGGCTGTGAAGAGGAAACCAGGATCGTTACACACAAACCAGAATTGTACCGGTCACTCCCGACGCTTTATTTCGCCGTACCCGGCCAGGTCAGTACAATCAATACCTACAAAATACTAAACGCTTCAGCTAAGAAGCAGACAGACACATTGACATCGCTCAGGAACTAAAAACCGTCTAAAAATCAGCATTTAAATCCCACTGCCTTACCATCCTGCACGGGAAGTTGACGAGAGGAAGTGGCGCCGTCGCGTGGAGATTTTTGAAGCTGTGCCACGCTCAAACTATCTTTCCAACCATAGGAACATAATGCTTCTTGCTATTAAATGGTTGATAGATTTGATAAATTAAGTAAAATGCTGTGTTATTTTGAAAAATAGTCAATAACCATCTCTTTTTTACATAGAATGTATGGGTATGAGTACAATAGTTTGAGCGCAGCCATATTTACGTTTCCGGCTACGTATACAATAGCACAGCTGATGCGCCGTAATTGTCGTGGTTGATATGTACGAGTGGGGTCGCGCGGGTCTGTCATAAAAGTCGGGTGGGAATTTGGTGTCGGGGGCAGTGCGACTAGAAGTATCAAGTTAATATTTAAGGATAGAGCTGCTTCCGAATTTCCATGAATTCAGTTCAGGTGTGGTGGGTTATTCTTAGCCGAGCCACCGCTTTGTGACTGGTGGGCGGGCGGGCGCCGGTATTTTCCACCCAGAGGCTCAAATGATTGCTGGCTCTGCAGTTTTGCAGTGATTTTCCATAAACTTAAGACACTCCCAAACTGTACACAAAACAGCAGTTCCAGGTGAGTGCAATGCGATGGGTGGTAGGAAGAAGTACTAGTACTTCAGTTTGTTATTCACAGCATGCATATGGTGGCTAGGCAGCACGGTCACCGCCCACAAGCGTGTCCATCGAGGGATTTCGAATAACATGGAAAGTGGTATGTGAACATATGAATGGAATCCAGTTGATGATTGCTTCAATAATCTTTATGTAAAAGTCTGCCCATAGCATGCACAAAACTCAGGAGTACTAATGACTCCTGACTTAAAAAAATGTCATCTAGGTGTGCTCATTCAAAAATATGCAGATTATACTCACAGACTACAAAAAATATTACTGCAGCAACCTAGTGTATGAAAATTTTATAAGGAACTTATTTTGCTGCTGTTGTTTTCTGCTGACATGCTGTTTGAAACCATGTGTGCTTTTACTGCAGGGCTGTCGATGTTAGCAGACAGCCCTTACCTTGTGCATCTGTGTGGGATCCTACTGGCTCAGGACTTGTACTGCAAGTAGCGGCATGCACTTAACTGGCCTTCTACAGCAGTGCTTAAGCCCCAGTCTGCCAGAAATCTGTACTGTGCCAGCTGTATACTGGCATCATGCAATACTATATACACCAGTGTGTTCAACCTCATGTTCTTGTGTGTGCAAACTCACGCGAGGCCAGGTTGCCTTTAATTTTTACGTTGTAATTTTTTCTTCAAGAACTGAGTTCCTTTTTCTAAACTTACCTTTCAGCATCTCAATTCATAGAAACTTTGGTTCTCTGTGCACTGAACTTGGTGCAGATCACATTAAACTCTGGGGGGTTTCCAAGTGATGGCATGCAATGATTTTGCTGTTATATCAGTCATGTTGAGTGTAACACATAGTTTTTGCTGTCTGGCTTAAGTCTGGTGCAGCCCATACATTGCGTCCTTCGACTGAACATGTTTAATATAGTCCTTGAGATAATAAGTCATGTATTCAATTTTATGCAGACCTTCCTAAATCAGTCAGTGCATGGATGTTTTAAAAAAGTTTGTATGATACACCAATTTGAATTGCAGGTAATTATGTCCCTGGGGTGTGTGCCACTCTGGGAAATCCAAATCCTGAGATACTGAGATTGCAGGGATGTGTACATAGCTATTAGATATATGCATTATCCCACAAATATTTCACCTGATGCACATGATCTGCACCAGCTGACATATTTGTGTTTCACCTGGTGTGCATGCTTATAGGTGGCTCCTAATATCTTGCAAATCAGCATGATCAGATATCACTGACCCTGCTCCTGTCATGAAGAAGATCATGATTGGAGATTAAAAGATAATATCAAAGAATATTGATATAAATGAATGCTGTAGAAGAACATTAAAATAATAATCCCAGGGTATCTGCAGAAAGTTTTGACATGTTTTCAGTTGTCTTGTCTTGAGTTTGTTTTGGCTTCAAAGCTTTTCCAGGAAATCTGCAGAGACCTGTATGCTCTAGGGAAGGTCAATAAAATATTTGACATAAAGGTCACATTTTCATTAAGTTTCAGGGCATGTTATATTCAGGACTCAGTTGTCTGTCTTGATGCATGTGGTCATAAATGAGAATGGTCAAATTAGATGAGCCCAGTGGATGTCAAGCCATGCCTGAAGCTGGCCAACCATAACTAAAGAACACTCAATCTGCTGTGGGTGTTTCAGCTGTTAGCTGTAGATATGCTACAGTTTCTTTGGTTTTATCACGGACATGTAAATGCCCGCTGAATTAATGAAACCATAGTTTAGAACTATGGAGAAAGCTGACCGTCCTGGTCAGGATTGTGCAGGACTCCAGTTCCAAGAAATTAATTGTGGCAGACTTTTCAGCACTAGTAGTTCCATTTCATGATAGCCAAGATGTGTGTAAGATGCAGTTGGATACTGTTATAGTTATGAGGGACATAACATATGAGCCATCAGGCTGTGAATGCAGCTCCCTGCTTATATTTCTATGTGGGCCAATTTGCAATTGCCATACAAAAACATGTAAGTTTGGATGCCTTGTTTGACTTCATTCAGATCAGCGCATGTGGCCAGCTGTGTGTCATTCTACAGGCATTGGTTATACTTTTTGGCTGACAAGGAAAGGGGAGAGCTAATGTTCCTAGTCATAGCCATAAATAATTCAGTCAGCCATCTCATCTCATGGGACACTAGGGTTCCCCTTTCACAGTGGGGACAATACTGCCTGGCTGTATCAGGTGTGCCAGCAGCTACTGCACGGTTGTATCGCCTGACTGGCCATGTGACACCTTTGTTTTTATTTCTGCAGACAGCTGTGGATAACAGCAATGCTGCCATTATCAAGCAAGGACCGACCGTACCGGAACGGCCTCTGGCAGCGGCTGACCGAGCGGGTGGGCGGCTGGCTGCGGCTCATATTTGCCGACCAGAATGCCAAGAACCTCTTTTTCTTCCTGCTCCTGAATCTGTCGTTTGCATTCGTGGAGCTGTTCTACGGTGTGGCGACCAACAGCCTGGGTCTGATCAGCGACGCCTTCCACATGTTCTTCGACTGTACGGGCCTGTTGGCCGGCCTGGTGGCGGCCGTCATCACTAGGTGGCGCGCCAACGAGCGCTTCTCCTACGGCTACGTCCGCGCCGAGGTGCTGGGCGGCTTCATCAACGGCCTGTTCCTGCTTTTCATCGCGTTCTTCATCTTCTCGGAGGCGGTTGAGCGGGCCGTGGAGCCGCCAGAGGTCAAGCACGAGCGACTCTTCGTCGTCTCTGTGCTCGGCCTGCTCGTCAACCTGGTGGGCATCTTCGTCTTCCAGCACGGTGGCCACGGCCACAGCCACGGCGGCGGCGGCCACGGCCACAGCCACGGCGGCGAGAGTCACGGCCACAGCCACGGCGGCGGCGGCCACAGCCACGACGGCCATGGCGGGGACGGTCACGGCCACGGACACAGCCACGAGCTGCCGCAGGGCTCCAACTCGCAGATCATGAAGGGCGTGTTCCTGCACATTCTAGCGGACACGCTGGGCAGCGTGGGCGTCATCGTGTCGGCCATCCTGATGAACCAGTTCGGCTGGATGATCGCCGACCCGATCTGCTCCATGTTCATCGCCACCACCATCGCCATCTCGGTGCTGTCGCTGATCCGCGAGTCGGTCTGCATCCTGATGCAGCGGCAGCCGCGCGAGCTCGACCACCTGCTGCCAGGCTGCTACCAGCGCGTGGCGCAGCTGGAGGGCGTGCTGAGCGTGCAGGAGCCGCACTTCTGGACGCTCTGCTCGGACGTCTACGTCGGCGTGCTAAAGCTGGAGGTGACGCCACACGCCGACCCCAAGTACGTGGTCAGTCACACACACATGATCTTCTCCGGCGTCGGAGTGCGGCAACTGCATGTACAGCTTGACTATGCGCCCATGTGAACGCGGCCTCCCGGCTCATAGACACATATTTATTGCTCGGCGCTGGTAAGAGTGCGCGACAACCCAAATGGCCAGGGTCCACCGAGAACTATTTTTATATTGCGTGGGCGCCCTGGTGTTGTTTTTTAACGTTGGTATTTTATTTCGTGCCAGCGGCATCCAGCCTCGGGCATTCCCAATAGTGAATGCGCGTTCCAGGGGCTGCGTCCATTCTGTGATCCGTGTTAGCCGCCTGTGCATGTGCCGCATTATTGGATACACGTGAGGCGATGCCGAAGCTGTTTCACCCGACGCGCTCGTGCTCTCTGAAGGTGTCGTCGAGCTCGGAGGCGGGAATCCATTATCACGGCAGTAGCGACTGGGGCGCGTCCGGCCCCGGACGGTCTGAGTGTGTGTGGCCCGCCATCCAGACCCGGACGGTCTGAGCGTGTGTGGCCCGCCATCCGGCCCCGGACGGTCTGAGCGTGTGTGGCCCGCCGTCCGGACCCGGACGGTCTGAGCGTGTGTGGCCCGCCGTCCGGACCCGGACGGTCTAAGCGTGTGTGGCCCGCCATCCAGCCCCGGACGGTCTGAGCGTGTGTGGCCCGCCGCAGCCGCAGCCCGGCGCGGCGCCGGCGGCTCCCCGCCGCTCGTCGTGCGGTCGGCCCGCGGCGGTGCCACGTCAAGCCTGTCCGGCGCGGCCCTGCCCGTCCGGCACGACGGCGCGACACTCGTGTCAGCCACGTCACGCGCCGTGACGACCCGTCACCACCCGGCGACGGCGGCAGCGGCGGCGGCGGCCTGACCGCGACTGCTAATGGGCGCGCCGCCAGCTGTGGCCGATAGCCGGCACGTGCGCCCCCCGGCCGCGTCCGGTCAGATAATGGGCACGAGATGCGACCGCAGGTGGCCGGCCGGGTTAGCACGGCAGGCCGCTGGCCGAGGGCACCGGACGGTTGGGCCCGAGTGCACCCAACGGGGCTCTGGGACGCACTCGCCGGACCTTCGCGACTCCACGCAAGCCTGGCGGGTGACACAGGTTCAGGGTCAGCGGAGTTGATGTGACGTTCACACCGGCCTGAACCGGAACTGATCCAGCATGGAACGGACGTCACCTGCCCTGACAGAATAGGCCAAAAGGGACCTCTGGCTGGACTGCACACCTCGGACCTCTCGGTGACGGAAGTAGCAGCGTGCAGCTGTGGTCCTGAGCAGGGTCGTAGAGATGCCAGCAGGGGCTAGGTGGGGTGGTTGGGGTGGGGGCAAGTATTCAGGGGGGAGGTGGGATGGGGGCAAGTCTTCGTCCGGTGCATTGCCACAGGGCTGGCGTTCAAATTCATACAATGTCGGGCGGGGCTACGTCCGATCTCACCGTTACCATCACAAATTATTTGAAGAGGTCGGTCCGAGCCAAGGCAGCTCATCAAGCACGTGGCTCATCTGGAACTCCGCTTTGCTGATACCGCTTACGCATCGGCCCCCACAGCACCCACGTCGAAAACAAAGTGCAGAGATGTTGTAGCATGAGGGAACGGTTGAAAAATGAACATGCTGTGTGACTAGTCACAAGATGCTGCCATGTGACAAAAGTAGTGAAGCGGTGGACAATCATGGAGTCCGGTCACCTCCGAGCACATTTAAATTTGCTTACCTCATTTCTCTGGCGACATCCCCGGAGCGTAAAGCTGTTAATCTGACCTGAGCACAGAGCATGCAAACTTCTAGCATGACCCGCTCGTTAACCGATGGCGTGGTCCTTAGAGCCCTGTACGGCAAAACTCAGAATAGATGTACACCCGGCAGTGCTAAACGACTTCACACATTTCGCTCGCACGGCTTCATTTCCGCAAATATCTGCCACATCGGTCTGTCTTCGTCGGACACGCCACGGGATTGTCCGACGGAGGGTTAGCCGCGAGTTCAGCCGTCGAGACGAACCAGGCGGTATGTCCCGACCCGAGACACCACAACCTGCCGCACCCAGTCAGGACCTACCACACCCAGCCATGGCCTGCCGCACCCAGCCACGACCTGCCGCACCCAGTCAGGACCTACCACACCCAGCTAGGGCCTGCCGCACCCAGCCAGGACCTGCCGCACCCAGCCAGGACCAACCACCCCCAGCCAGGGTATGCCGCGCCCAGTCAGGGCCTGCCGCACCCAGCCATGGCCTGCCGCACCCAGTCGGGGCCTGCCTCACCCAGCCAGGACCAACCACCCCCCAGCCAGGGTCTGCCGCGCCCAGCCAGGGCCTGCCGCACCCAGTCAGGGCCTGCCGCACCCAGTTAGGACCTATCGCGCCCAGTCGGGCCTGCCGCACCGTCTGACGTTGCAGCAGCTCGTGAACTAAGATTGCTCGGAGCCATGCGTAGCTCCTCTCACCGATGGCGCAAGCATTTGAGCAAAGGGGGATCACAGCACCAATTCATAACGAACGTCCCCGGCAGCGCCCGAGATCGTCGCTGGAACCCACGCATTGACACGGCAGCCCTGTGTGGCGGTGAACAGTGCAGGCTCTCGCTGAAGGGAGAGCGCAGTCCACTGAGGCCGGGGTCGTGGGACGGGCGACTGTAATGGCATGAGGGAACCCGAATACGCGGGAAAACCATGCTACTCCTGGAAGTCCTTTTGATTTCATTATTGCCACACCATGGGATCGCGGAGGAAACTAAGAATTTGCCGGGAGAGCAGGGGGACCGAGGGCATTTGCCTAGAGCCCCGAGCCTTCACTGTGAACGGTACCAAAAGACAGCTGTACAGTCTGCATCTGTGAGTATATTTGTAATCAGATTATTGGTGGAAGTATAAAGTAAGGCATCCGGTCGGCCACCATTTAAACAAAACACACAACGTAACAAAACTCGCGTGGTCACGTACTAAATATGTCGCCAACTATACAGTAAAATACATCCATCGGGTGCCAGTGGCAATGGTACAATTCACATTCCCAAACAGTAATAACTATCGACATCCTCGTGTAACTAAAAAACCCAATTGCACTTTTCGCATATGAACTTGATGGCACAATACAAAATCCCGACACAAGATTTCACTCTAATAATGCACCTTCATTACAACCATCGCGGCATACCTGATGAGATGGCTAAATCCAGATGAGCCCTCCAATATTGCAGCTACCCCAAATCACGGTATCACACCGCAGGCACCACCAGCACACAATCTGCAAAACGCTGTTACAGCTAAAAAGGCAGTGACAGTTCTCCCCATCACTTGTCTTGAATCAACTGGCAATGACGGTTCTCCCCATCACTTGTCTCGAATCAAATGACAATGATGGTTCTCCCCATCACTTGCTGTTTTGAATCAACTGGCAATGATGGTTCTCCCCATCACCTGCCATATCGAATCATACAGAACGCGGTACAGAATGATCCCTGAACCACTTATTCCAGCGGAAGACTACGGAAGCTCCGCCTGCCGTGTTCACGGACAGATGCCGCCAGCGGCGTGCTCGATCGGGTCCAGTCTCCAGGTGCCGTCATTAAACAGGTGCAGCTTCCAGTCGTGGTAGGCGGTTAAGCTTTCACGGTGTCCAACGCTGAACAAGGTCATCTTCAGCCGCAAACATTCCTGGGAAATATGACGCGAAATGTGGGAAACTGGGCTTTCGTGCTGCCTGCCTGCCAGCAGTCTACTGCTAGCCTGTCAACGAACCAACAAGATATATCGCGCTTCGTGAAAAACAAAATATCAGCACCAACGCCCTGTAATGCTGGAAAGTGTACAGCCGCCGAAAAACCATCCTGCTTCAAAAAAGGAACCGATGAACCCTGCCTTCTCACGGAACAACCACCCACGTCCAGCCGTGAGCTGGTTGACCGCCCCTCACCTGGAATAGAATCTCCCCCACCTGGCCCTTCGCCTGGTATACAATCTTCCCCACCTGGCATAGAATATCCACCACATGGTACAGGATATCTCGTACCAGTACAGAATGTCCCCCACCTGATACAGTATGCCCCCACACTAGCACGAAATTTTTCCGATTGGTACACAATCTCCCCAACTGGTGCAGGATATACCCACCTTATACAAAACCACCCCCACAAGGTCTCTTGCCACCTTGCACAGAACGCGCCCCACCTGGTACAGGATCTCCTCCATGTCGGGACTGACGGCGCTGGTCGCCTCGTCCATGAACACGAACACCGGCCGGTGGTGGAAGAGCCGGACGAAGAACAGGCGCTGCATCTCGCCCGGCGACAACATGTCGTACCTGGAGGCCGGCGGCGGCCGAGCCGGCCCGGTGAGATGGTCAGAACGTACAGCTCGGCCGGCGGCGGCCGAGACGGTCAACATGTGCAGCTCGGCCCGCGGCGGCCGAGCCGGCCTGACGACATGGTCAACACGTACAGCTCGGTCGCGACAGCGCGCCACTTCTGCGGCGAAGACGTAAGCCCAACGTTCAGAGGCCTTCGCCGTACACTCTGGAACGGCCACAGCATAACCACGGGCATGACGTCACGTGCAATAACACCGTACTACATGCCGTAGCGTGATGACACGCATAAAGATACGCACATATATACAGCTGTGTAAAATAACGTCCGCCTAATTTTGAAAAGCACGCGTATCAGCCAGTTTACCCTTACCACCAATCGGGAATCTCCAGCATCAAGTCATGACCATGCCCATGAGGCCGCTGATCTGATCTGATCTGGTTTGATCTGATCTGATCTGATCTGATCTGATCTGGCTGGCTCTGTCCGCCCCCTCCCGACTCCACTATCCGCAGACTCTCCCGGCACAAGCCGCGCGCCGGCGCGGTCAGGCGGCCGCCGCGGAGTCGTGTGCCGGCCACAAGACCAGCTCACTGACCAGTTCTTGTTGACCTCGGAGTCCAGACCGCCGCAGCGATCCGCCAGGCTGCTCAGCTGCACCAGCTCCAGGTAGTGCAGCATGCGCTCCGTCTCCGACACCGTGTAGCCGCCCTCCTTCAGCCGCTCCGGGTACACGATCTGGAGCAAGCGGCACTACAGTCAGGCCCACCAGCCCAGTGACGACTGGACATGAGCCGCCACGAAGCTCAACCCCAGGTACAACGTATCTGTGACAGAGCTAACGAAGGCGAAGATCGCCAGCGAACGTCAAATTGAGTTGCGTTTTCGTGTAGAAGGCTGTTTTGTGAAAACTGTTTTCAGTACAGCGGATCTATGGCAATCAATCGTTTGCCGCCCGGCGATGACAAACCCAGCTCCCCGCTCTGTTTAAATGCTTTTTGTTGGCATTTGCAGCACACAGCGCGTACATAAGGCAACAACACAAAACAAATTGCCACCGCCAGTCGTTCTCTCGCGTGTCGCCGGTTCTCGCGCGGCGGGCCGCCCGGAGGGGGCGCTGACCTGCTGCCGGAGCGAGCCGTCCGTCAGGAACGGCCGCTGCGGCATGAAGAACACGTGTCCGGGGCCGGGGCGCAGGTGGCGCTGCAGGCGCCCGGTCGCCGGTGGCCACAGACCGCGCAGCACGCGCAGCACGCTGGTCTTGCCGCAGCTGCTGCTTCCAGTGACGAGCAGCGAGCGGTGGCGGCGCACCGTCAGCGAGAGCGCCGTCACCAACGTGCGCCGCGCGCCCGGCACGCACACGCTCACCTTCGAGAGCGCGTACGGCGTGTCGTATTGCGGGTCGTCTGCGGCGGGCGGCGCGCTGCCGGGAGCACCGCTCTGTGGTCATGTGTCGGGGCTCCGGAGGGCTGCGGCGCGTTGGGACCGCCTCACAGGACCAACGGGTTCCCGTCATAAAACATGTCCGTGAGAAAGCCAACGACAAGAGAAGGCTTCAGCATGTGCCTCATCCGTAGAGCCAAAGCCACATCTTTCCAAACAAACGAACCTCAATGACGTTTACGCAATCAATCAAACCAGCAAGACACAAGACAGGGGCAATGGATGGTAGGATAGAGTGGTAGCCAGCACGGTCCGTGTCCCATCTCCGGGTCTGCCTCTTACCCCCCGCTCGTGTCTTCGTCGGGGGTGTGCGGCGAGCTCTTCCACCGTTGCTCCAGCACCGCTAGCCGCTCCACTAGCTGGCCCACCCGGTGCGTGCAGCCCACCACGTCCGTGGCGCTGGACGCCAGGTCCACCAGCTGGGTGAAGTTGAAGATCAGGTACATGCAGACGAACGAGTTCTGAAACGGAGCTTAGCGTGAGACGCGGCGCCGGCACGCGGCCCCGTCTGTGGTGCTGCCACCTAGGGGACGTCGACGAAACCTCAGTTGTCGGACAGGCGTTAATGGAACATTGGGGCTCGGCCACTGCTGCTGCCATACTGGTGGCGTTTGGAAAGATTGGGAGGGCTGTCCCGGGCCTAACAAGCATTCTTTGTCCTATCGGTGACGGTTATCCAGTGACATTTCGCTCTTTAATAGCGCACAAACGCAAATTTTCACCATCGAAATCCAACATCTGTACGGATTACTGTCGCAAAGCGTGTTGTACATAAATTCGACAATGAGTCAGTCCACGAGAGGTTGTAGAATTCTACTCAGGTGGCACTTAGAGCCGTTCCACTTATCACAGAGAGGAGCTAGTCGGAGACATTGAGAGGCCCCACACCACATCTCCCGCGCGTGACGAGAGGGTGATCCGCTGAGAGGCGGCCCAAACATGAATCCCACGCAGTCGGTTGGGTTCCGTCCGGGCAGCGCCGCTGGCGCACGCGCCGTGCCTTCCGCCCGCAGTCGGCCGGCGGGCGGCCACGCACCTGGCTGATGAGCGCGCTCAGCTGCTGCGGCGTGCGGTCGTCGTACAGGCCGGCGAAGATCGGGATCGAGATCACCAGGTAGTTGAGAATGCCGCCCAGGTAGTCGAACAGGTTGACCACCACGGTGAGCATGAAGCGCCGGTTGAAGAGCGACATCTGCGTGGAGACGAGTGCACTCAGCCGCCGGTTGCAGCGGTGCTCCTCCACAGGCGCTGCAGCCTTGAAAGCCCAGAGCCTCGGCGTGTACGCGGACCTGCATGTGCTTGAACCTGCCGGCGCGCAGGACGGCCGGCGGTCACGGCTCACAGACGGACGCCCCGGCCGACACAGAGTAACTGGGCCCCGGGGAAGAGCGCAGCCGTCACGTGACGGGCCGGTCGTGATCGACACGTTACGACAGCGCGGTGGTGCCGCAAACGCCCCCTCCCCCCGCATTCGAAGGCGGTGGTGCTTGGCGTCCGTGACTACACCAGACCTCCAGAGGCGGCATCTTTGGGTACGCGTGAGCACATTCGATTTCCCAGAGGCGGTGCGAGACGGACTCCAGTGGCAACGGTTGACATGGGGATGGGACATGACATGGAGCCGCCATGGCCCGCTGCTGCGCCATACCGGAATGAACGCCGAAACATCACAGTGCGAAACTCCGAAGAACCAATCCGCGAAACCAACGGTGTCTGGAGCAACCATCGAACCAAAAGCACGCAGAGATCGCAATAAGCAAGCTGACACAGCGAAGACATGAAGGGGGCGATACATGAAGACGTGTGCCGTGTTTAACGGTGGTGACCAGCTGCAGCGCGATCGTCGGCGGTCAGCACAGAAGTACGTGTGCCGTATTTAACGGTGGTGACCAACTGCAGCGCGACCGTCGGCGGTCAACACAGAAGTGCGTGTGCCGTGTTTAATGGTGGTGACCGACTGCAGCGCGACCGTCGGTGGTCAGCACAGAGAAGTGCGTACGCCGTGTTTAACTGACGTGTAACTGATCGCGGTCGTGTCTCATCAACGTTTACGAAGGGACTCGGTTTATGATGTCCAGTACTCAACAGACCAGAACTACTCAACAGTCCTCGTCTTTTTGCTCAAAATCCTTTCGTCTTTGACGGCTGTCGCTATGCGCTGTGTCATAGCCGAATGAAATGTTTTCTTCATTGCATTACAGTTACGAAGAAAGACAGATGCCTGGTACCGCCCATGCTCGGTTCGTTCCCAGCTCGTCCCCCGCTCGAACCCGTCTCGTCCCCGGCTTGACCCCGCCGCCGCCTGCGCGAGACCACGCCGAGCTGACCGTCTGACCCAATACACAATTCAGAACGGGACGCCGGTCAGTTCACGGCCGCGCAAACTGGTCACATTCACTGCTGCTGCCACGCAAATCCAGCCCGCGGCAAGCGAGGCAACCGCGAGCGCAACGCGCTAATCGCAGCGCAGCAACACAGCAACGAGCTGATCGCAGCGACGAAACGCAGCAATGGGCTAACGCAACGACGTAACGCAGCAATGGGTTAATTGCAGCGACGTAACGCACCAACGGGCTAACGCAGCGACGTAACGCGGCAACGAGCTGATCACAGCGACGAAGCGCAGCAATGGGCTAACGCAGCGACGTAACGCAGCAATGGGGCAATCGCAGCGCAGCAACGCAGCAATGGGCTAACGCAACGACGTAACGCAGCAATGGGGTAACTGCAGCGACGTAACGCACCAACGGACTAACGCAGCGACGTAACGCAGCAATGGGCTAATCGCAGCGACGTAACGCAGTAACGGGCTAACGCAGCGACGTAACGCAGCAACGGGCTGATGGCAGCGACATGACGCAGCGACGGGCTAACGCAGCAACGTAACGTAGCAACGAGCTGTTCGCAGCAACGTAACGCAGCGACGGGCTAACGCAGCAACGTAACGTAGCGACGGGCTAACGCAACGACGTAACGCAGCAACGGGCTAACGCAGCGACGACGTCGGGGTTTGGAGTGCATTAATGTGGACCACGAAGGAGAGGGGCCAGATCCCGGGTTCAGGCACGGCGTGCACATCGATTCTTGCTGTCGACCTTCCCGTCGTTCCTTCTCCAAGCACTGTGCATGTCGGTGTCGTCACTTTGCCATTCGTCTCCGAACCGAAACTCTGCGAGACCCAGTCCACTACATCACCGCAAGCGACACCACACTGGATGCGAGAAACGGTTGAGGCGTGTTGCGACCGACGCTGGTCTTATGGCTGACAGAGCTCAGCGCCCGGCCGGGTTGCCAGACGGTTCGGGCGTGTTGCGACCGACGTTGGTTTTATGACTGACACAGAGCTCAGCGCTCGGCCGGATTGCCAGACGGTTCGGGCGTGTTGCGACCGACGCTGGTCTTATGGCTGACAGCTCAGCGCTCGGCCTGGTTGCCAGAAGCTACTGAGGGCGATCAAACCACGGCGTTACGAGTTTATCTGAGGCCTGTGCGAGCTCCGTCAGTACAGTTCAGTGCCCTCAAGCCTGTCCAGAGAGCGAGGGCCTGCAGGTACGGAACACGCCACAGCGGTGGAGGGAAATGTCTCGTCGGTCTCGGGCGACTTGCGCACGACGTCGTCCTACGCCACGCGATAAATTATGGCAATGTCGGAGCGATGGCTGCACCGCGGTGGGAATGAAGCGCTTCCTGTGAGCTCGGGATGGCTGAGGATTCGCCTGTGCATACTGTCAGACCCATCACCTATTTTCCCAGCGCCTTTGCTGGTCGGAATTCAGGGCAGGCAAACCGGCGCCACAGACATAGCAAGCAAGGCCCAAATAGAAATCGGGAGGCACCAACCGGGCAAGACGAAAAAGGGACATTAATGTGTTTGCAACCTCCACAGTGACGGCAATCACGTGATGAAACAGCAAAAACGCAACTGCGATGCAACAGCGATAACACTACCGGCGACAAAGCAACGAGCAGTCTTGGCCTAATAGCGGCGCTGGGCTGCACAGTAGCGTCCGAGGCGCCCAACAACATGTGGATCACTCACGGACGGTTTCCTCCACCACCAATGACTCTGCAATTTGCACCTCCGTTGCGACGACCTGGGAATGCCGCCCCAGTGAAAAAGCACGTGGCAATTAGCCATCTACAGACAAAATGCACTCCAGAACGAGCACCCTTTTTGCTGCCGTCCAACGCACTCGGCAAAACCAACGGCGGCCGTAAGACGGGCTTCCTGAAAATAGTGCCCCTCGGTGTTTTTGTTTCCAGTCTGATACCTGGGTCTAGAATCGAGACCCACCAATCAGCGAATGGTTGGGCGGACGCATTACTTTTTGACGACCCACCATGTTTGCGTGTGTTAGCATCGCGACTAAATTGCTCAATTTCTGAGCAATGTGTTTCGCGGCGTGCATTTTCGCGGAACAACTTGTTTGAAACGTGCCGTCTGGGTGGAACGCCTTCCACAGCGAGTTACGTAATGGTGCTTGCAAATCTAACATGGACGAACCGCAGAGATGGTGTGGATCTTCACACTCCTCACTTCTCGCTTCTCGCTTGAGATGCCAGCTAGGCAGCGCACAAATCGCACAAACCATACATAGCTCCTCTCTCTAGCTTGCCACGTGGAATCTGTGGGTAACATGGCACGACCGGTGTGGAGGCCGGTGAAAAATAACTCCTCCTTCCAGACCTTTCAGACAAAGAAACGTCATAAACCAGGCTCCAGGTGGGTTGGTAGCCTGAGGCTTATTTCTCAGCTCCCCCGGCCACTAGCAGGGATCCACGTAAAGTCATCTGATGTATGGAGTGCTGCTGTCTTAGCAGCCTCCCCTGGCGAGTAATTTCCGGTGATTGAACGCGACACAGGGACCGTTTTCACGCAAGCAACAGCAGCCTCGAGTTTTTCTGCGACCAGTTGATGACGCACTGTCTGTAGCTGGGAAGGCTTGACAATCTCTTCATCGACGGGCGTCTGACAGAGCACCGTCTGTAGCAGGAAGGGCATGACAATCCCTTCACCGACGGGCGTCTGACGGCGTGCCGTCTGTAGCAGGGGGGCATGACAATCCCTTCATCGACGGGCGTCTGACAGCGCGCCGTCTGTAGCAGGGAGGGCACGACAATCCCTTCACCGACGGGCGTCTGACAGCGCACCGTCTGTAGCAGGGAGGGCCTGACAATCCCTTCACCGACGGGCGTCTGACAGCGCACCGTCTGTAGCAGGGAGGGCATGACAATCCCTTCACCGACGGGCGTCTGACAGCGCACCGTCTGTAGCAGGGAGGGCATGACAATCAGAATGCTGGAAAATGCACATCCACTGGGCGGCATCAAAACATTTGAAAATGCAAATGCTGAAGACAGGTGGGAGCAGATAAGTATGTTGTTTGGGTTTTCTTTCTACCCAAATCTCACCCGAAACTATGGACTGGACCTTTTGACATCCTGGCAAACAAGTCATCTTACCGAACCGAAAAAATGCAAAGTGGCACCACCAACAGTCGCCATGTTTTCTTCTTTGCGCGGCGAAAAACGACGCGGGAAATCGCCTCACAAGCCACACATCAGCATTCCGGTGTTAGCAGGGCTTGAGAGTGGGAGGCGGAATGTGACTGTGTAAATTACTTCGCCTAAAACCATGTGTCGTGTCTAAGCTCAGCTGGATTAGTGCAATCAGATATCATTTTTCATCACTTCAGGCAGAAAGGCCGTGTAAGCAAACACCTGTAATAACCAGCATTGGCTCGACAATAATTCGCTTCTGGCTGCTGAAATCAGGAGCTGCGACGCACCAGCATAGCCGAAAGTGTCTTAATCATACATGCATAACTACATCAATTCTAAAAGCCTCTTTATGAGAGCACGAGGGAGACCTCAAGGCATGTAAAAGCTCAACTCATCATATACATCAGATTGGAGAACAAACCAAGACAAAATGAGCTGACAGCAAGGTAGGGAGGAAAAATGTGTACAGCTCATCGAAAAATCATGAAGTAATAAGCTGAAACCTACCATTCCATTCGTGTGCGGCATCTATGATTTAGTCATGGAAAGCGGTCAAGCAAAGTCTCAATCCACTGTGTTGTTGCACCAAGGCGGCGTTTCTTCATGTCCATTTAAAAATATGTTATTTCCGTCGCCGACATACACACCCGGACACCTACCAATTGTCAGTGCCACTGGTCAGCTGGTGATATTCAGCCAGCCGTCAACGTGCCACTCAGGCTGCCAGCACCATCATTACCAGTGGCCACAACATTGCATAATTCAGAGCTCTCAGCGAACAGCATTTGCAATGTGTGTGGTAAGTCAGTCACGGCTGGTACCAAAGAGAGACAAACGATTGTCTGATGACTACAGCGTGGCTAGGAAGGCCTGTTTCAGTGCATATGCAAACAGCTGCGGTCGCCCCTTGAACAACTAATGTGCTGTGCTTCATTGCTCAAATCAAGCATGCTCATAAGCAAACCGCGGAGGTGATTACTCCATGGGCGGCTATAAAGAGCAGTGATATAGTCAGATCGATAGTGTGACTGCGCTTACATAACCAGGCTCGATGAAGCATGTTTTCACGTGGTTGTACTGCTCTTGCAGACTGCATGTACTTCCAAAACGTGCACACGCGTTTCCCGTTCTCCTTGTCATGTCCTCTTACATCCTCACTTAGAGTAGGCCTTGTCCGCAGTCGCTGACCAGATACTGCCGACGTGGAGCTGCATAAAAGGTTTGCACTCTTCGGCAACGGTAACCTTTCTGTCTGTCCATCACCTGGAACCACGATGGTCGTCTTGTGCATGCCACCCCTGGTGGCTCTGGCTTGACTATTTTGCCAGTCATCAATGAGCAGTGACCCGGTGTGCGGAAGGACCAGATGTCGACGCACGAAGTTCGGTTCGGCAAATAAAGGCCACTGCGGCTGATGGCGTGTCAGCCGTTCGTACGGAAGCCCGTCCTACTTAGGAGGAATGACACAAGGCATGGAGTGGTCGCATGCGACTCATGTTGGCATGGTCACCAGGATGTATGTCACTAACCTGTCTGTCTGGATGCCTGTCAATAACCCATGGTCACTTCGCCCGGTAGACGTATGGCGCCAACCATTGGTCAACACGGACGTGCGCGGTGCCTCCAGCCAGACGCGTGGCGAACACGTGTGACACTGTCGGCGCCGACGGCACCAATGTACTCCACATCCCGGACGGCCATGACTGCCGGGCGGGGCGTCCTCCGTGGTCGCCAATGTCGTGTGCTGTATCGCCGGGTTCGTCGTCCGACGAACCCGGCTCACGCCAGGAGATGAATCCGTGTCGTATGTGTTCTCTGCTGCTCACGCCAGGATATGAATCCGTGTCGTATGTGTTCTCTGCTGCTCACGCCAGGAGATGAGTACGTGTCGTATGTGTTCTCTGCTGCTCACGCCAGGAGATGAGTACGTGTCGTATGTGTTCTCTGCTGCTCACGCCAGGAGATGAGTACGTGTCACATGTGTTCTCTGCTGCTCACGCCAGGAGATGAATACGTGTCGTATGTGTTCTCTGCTGCTCACGCCAGGAGATGAGTACGGGTCGTAAGTGTTCTTTGCTGCTCACGCCAGGAGATGAATACGTGTCGTATGTGTTCTCTGCTGCTCACGCCAGGAGATGAATACGTGTCGTATGTGTTCTCTGCTGCTCACGCCAGGAGATGAGTACGGGTCGTATGTGTTCTCTGTCCTGACGCCGCAATCGGGTTAGGGCGCGGTCATGTGACTCTCCAATGTCACGTGATTTGCGACTGCGCTTTGGGCCGACATGGTGCGCTCTGGTATGACATAAGTTTTTTAGTCATTTCTGACTGATCGGTGTGGTCTGGAAGCTCTTGGCGTGTACTGAATTACAAAAAAAATATCCAGCATTTTAAATCGGTGTCTGCCAACTTTAGCACACCACCACATTAGCCAGCGGTGCGTCTGCCATTTTCACCAATTACCGGCACCTTAGCACTTACAGTGCGCCCGCCTGCTGGTAGATTATGTAGCGGAAGTTAGCCCACATTCAGCCCAGGTTCAGCCCAGCCCAGATTTGGCAGCACAAATGTAGGGAATTTCCTTTACGGGTCGATATCTCCCCTAGGATTTCGAAATCCTGTACTGGTGAAACGCCACCTGAAAGCTCTCCTTCGGCCAAGCACAACAGTGCACAGAAAAATCATCTACCTTGTCTAGGGGGAAAGCTATAGACGATCCTACAATCACGTCTATGAGGCGGCCCCTACGACTTTCTTCAAAATTGCGTCATCGAACCATCGACAGATACGTATCAATCCGGCTGAAGAAACCCTATCGGGCATTGATATTCAGGGGGTCAAAACCCCTTAGGAAACATACATAACGTGGTTTGCACTTACTTAACGGCGAACATAGGCCGAGTTGCATACCAAATGGCCCATGACTTCCGACGATGTGCAGGAGGGTCCCGGCAGCTGCTGCCACCCAGGGTTGTGACAGACCTGTCGTGGGCCCTGCTCCACGCGATCAGTAGGGCCCTCGCCGGCGAGACTCTTCCGGCCTACATAGACGATGCGTGGGCAGCAGCGCGAATCGGGGTGGTGTTAAATGTCACGATCTCACTGTGCACCTGCCACATAGCGCATGACGTGGCCCGGACCGCTGTGAACCACCTCGGTAAGCGCAAAGTCGCCGAGAGACGGGCTGTGATATGGCTGTTTGGACGCATGCATCTATCAAAGAGCGTCCCAGAGCTGGACTCGGCTTTTTGCGACACGTGCCACCTCTTCCTCTCCACATCAAAACCACGGTTGGAGCCAAAAGAGGACGACGAGACGCCCCAGGACATAGACCCGGAACCCACGAAGGTGGACGAGAGGTGGTGATCCTACAGGGGGAGCACCAAGCCAGGTCGCCACTTCACTGCTCTTAGGCGGAATGTGGAGGCTGAACTCCTTGGCGCTGGTGACAGGGGCAGCACCAATACGTGCTACTGTCCGGAACTGCTTGAGCATCTCTGCAGCATCGTTATGCTCCTTGCTCCGCTGTGGGAGTCGCTAGTGCAAGGAAACGCAAGCAACGCGTGCGTTGAGAGCTGGTTCCGCACGCTGAAAACAGCCCATGGTGAAAAAGCGTAAGCTCGTGCCAGGCGCGTTGGTTGAGCTCTTGATCAGCAACCTGACCGCGCACGGAAAACAGGACCTGATCATAACCAGCCCTACACGACGGAAAAGGAAACTGGCACCGGACTTCGCCAACGCGGAAGAGAGTTGGCGACAGAAGCGCACAAAGCGTGGCTTCTCCTACAAGACGGCGCCGTGTACCATCGCCAGACATCTCTTCTCGGATGTCAGTAGCGCAGCCCCATCGGCCACCGAGGGCCCAGCCACCGGTAAGCGCTCCGTTGTTCCCGCCACGGCCGGCCAACGCCCTGCTGCTCCCGCCACGGCCGGTCCGCGCCCTGCTGCTCCCGCCACGGACGGTCGGCGCGCTGCTGCTTCCGCCACGGACGGTCGGCGCGCTGCTGCTCCCGCCACGGCCGGTCGGCGCGCTGCTGCTCCCGCCACGGACGGTCGGCGCGCTGCTGCTCCCGCCACGGCCGGTCGGCGCGCTGCTGCTCCCGCCACGGACGGTCGGCGCGCTGCTGCTCCTGCCACGGACGGTCAGCGCCCTGCTGCTCCCGCCACGGACGGTCAACGCCCTGCTGCTCCCGCCACGGACGGTCAGCGCGCTGCTGCTCCCGCCACGGACGGTCAGCGCGCTGCTGCTCCTGCCACGGACGGTCGGCGCGCTGCTGTTCCTGCCACGGCCGGTCGGCGCGCTGCTGCTCCCGCCGCGGCCGGTCGGCGCGCTGCTGCCCCTGCCCCGGACGGTCGGCGCGCTGCTGCTCCCGCCAGGACGGTCCGCACGCTGCTGCTCCCGCCACAGACGGTCAACGCCCCGCTGCTCCCGCCACGGTCGGTCAGCTGGATGCTGCTCCCGCCACGGGCGGTCCGCTGCTGCCAACCCCCATCACGCCCTTGAGGTGAAACGGGCCTTGGAACCTGTCCTAGATGGCCACTGGCTAACCGATCTTTCGGTGAATATGTTCAGCGGTGCAGTGGCTTCAACTCCGGTGCTGCCGTTATCGGCCCATTGGCGCGAAAGCGTGAAGCGGACTTGGCGTCGCTGCATGTTCCAGCTCTTTGAGCGACAGACCCCGGCTACCACCTGGTTGTTGCCACTGAATGTCGGCCACCACTGGGTGCTACTCGTGGTTTTCTGGAACCAGCGTCTCGTGGTATGCTGCGACTCTATGGGGTGCTGGCCAAGCCGATAGGACCTCCGGGCAACGCAAGTCCTGATGGCTGCAGCGAGGCCTGGCCTGCAGTGGGATGGGTGGAGACTCGTGGCGCCGATGACACCGCAGCAGACAGATGGCTGGACTTGCGGCTATCGGGTCTGCTGGCTCGTCGAGGCTGCAGTCACGGGCACCATCATGCCCTTCAGCATCACATACATGAAGGCGCAGTTGTGTACTCATATCGGGGTCGGCTCTTCCTTGCATTGCAGTATTGACTAAATAGGTGGATTTAAACGTGGTTTTCTTATCGCTTTAAATCAACGTATAGAGTAATAAGACAACAATGTTTAATTGGCGTGAAATAATTAATACCATGGGGGACGTATGAAAGCACTTTCGGAGATGTATTTCGGAGTGAACGTTGCGATCAGATTTCCATCCAGTCCTTTCGTCCCGCATTTGGAAAGGAAGCCTACATTAACATGTTCGTGCGAATATAGCCAGAAACACTGGTTAATGTGCAATCCTCGGCATAAACCCCTTGAGCGGTGGCTATTTCACGATTCTTATCTGCATGCGAAAACTGGGAGTCTATGCTGCAGCTGCGTTCACACTCCCGTCTTCGTTAGTTTGAATTTTCTGTTTTTATTAATTTAGCTTCTCTTTCTCTGTTACAGTCCTCGGATGGTTCTCCACTGACACCAATTCCGGTGTGCCGGTGCGAGAGGCCTCAATCCATGGTGTGTGGAGTCGCCCCTGACCCCCTGCCTCGGCGCCAGGTCTTCATGGAGGCCAATATGTACCTGGCCATAATGCATCGGCGCACTCTGCAGGTTTGTTTTAGACAGGGTTCGCTCACGTTTGTTGTTTTGTGCATTTGTTGTACCTTACATATCACCGCTTTAAGAAATTTCGCATCACTGCGTATCCTGTAGTGATTATTATCGTTTGATTATTTCCTTCACTCTTCCTAAAACATACACAAGAAAGGAGATAAATGGCTTTACACAACTTCCGTCTGTTGATCTATTCCATCTTCCCATCGTTACGGTCTGGTTAGACAGGCGCCAACACTATTTCCCGTTTGTTAAGCTGTTGGGCTAGGAAGTGGTACCAGTGTTGGAAATTGCAAAAAAAATCCTGGTAGCGGAGTACAAATTTTCCAAAGTGGAGTACCAAATTTTCCAAGTACTGTGAGTCATTGCACTGCTATTTAACTTATCATTGAGAGATTACAGTACAATCGCGGTGCTCAACAGAAGGACCACGTTTCATATACAGCAATTCATGTAAACAACATCACATGTTCTCGTTTGTTTTGATAGGGGGGGGGGGCACGTGCCCCCGGAGGCGTGTGCCCCTGTGCACACACATCAATACGCAAGCTGCGCATTGTGAAGCTTGGCTCATATCCACCATTATTCGGTCTGCAGTGGCCTGCGGCAGTGCGGTCAGTCAATGCGCAAACCTGAGTAAATGACGAAATGATGCGCACCAGAGTAGCCACTAAATTACCCACGGTATGACCACCGAATACCGATCGGTAGCCGGCAGCAAAAACACACGAAGAGAGAACGTGTTAAGGGCGGCGCCCGCTCGGATGATATGTTGCAGGACCTTCGGCTCTTGCATAACTCAAGGCACGTGTCCGGCCGAGGTGAACAATTCTTGTGGGCCCACCACCTGTGGGTAGACTTCTGAACTATTATGCCTTCTTGCCGCTGTCATATATCAACCCCGACTCCCCAAGCCATTAAAATACTGGTAATTTGTGATTGTCCATGCCAAAACATGTAAGCATTGTTCCCTCCAGAACCAGTGGGTAACATTCAAGGCGCGATTACGTCCATACCTTCCTGCAGTACCGCAACTGCAATGATCAGCCAAGCTGGTGTTGCACGGTATCAGTGAATTATTACCACGGACCTCACACTATGCTTGCTAATGTCATTTTCTTCGACTCACTCGAGCAGCTTCGGAATACCTGTCTACCCCAACTCGTTGGTGGCAGTTTCAGTGATCTGCACGGTTGGCACGAGATGTTCGTTTCTTCACAGATCGGATGGCGCTCGGGCGTACCACCGTCATCTCCGAGCCGGTCGTCTTCGTCATCTCCGTGCCACTGTCATCTCCGAGCCGGTCGTCTTCGTCATCTCCGTACCACCGTCATCTGCGAGCCCTACCGTATGCGCCGGGCCGACATGTACGCTCCCCCCGGCCCTGCTAGATTTTGACCTGTATCACTCGCCTGGTATGTTCGTGTTGTGTGTTTGATGACTATGGTTTGCGTTGTATTGACTTGTGTGACTCGCACCCAAGTTTACCACGTTTTATGCTTTCGACGGAAGATCGTAATAGCCGCAAGTAAGTTGCGGGTGCCTCAATAAAACTATGTCCGTGTTACGTGGTATTCTCAGTGCGAATATCGAAATACCGACAATGTAATGAATTACTCAAACTGAACGGTCGTGATGCTTTCAAACAAATTCGAGACCGCCCGCAATCACGTTCGAGGGCAATCGATTCTTAATATCATGCAACGGTCTTGTATTTACATACACATCTGTATTGTGTACAAGACCACTGTTCAGCATCCACCCACGGGGAAGCGTGCTTCACGACGGCAAGGCATCGCGTTAGGGACCGACGCTGAACGGCACCATATGACGGTCTAACGCGATTTTTATCCGTATTAGATGATTTTCTATGGAAATTAGAGCCAATACCAATAGCAAATGACCGTGCTTTTCATTCCATGCGCAGCA